TGTTTTTTCTATATATAAAAAATCATGTGATATGACGTAATTTCGACCATTTCGACTTTTCATTTCGACTTTGACCTTCAAAGTCGAAACATTTCGACTTTTGGGTTTTCATTTCGACTTCATGTATAGCCAGTACTATTCCATAAATTTGGTCAGATCTTTAGACATAATAACTCAGCATCCATAGCTGGTATAAAAGTAATATGAAACTAGTAGACTAAAAGGATTTCTTTGGCATCTTGCCAGTTTCATGACAGTTCTATAACAGTTCTAGGAGAGTTTCAGGACACTGCCAGGTCGCTATCATGGCACCAAATTGGATTCTCAAATCACATGCCCAAAAGATCAGCCAGAATTATTGATGTTATAATGCTGGCCAAAACTGCTATAATATATGACAGAAGGTGTTCTGTTATCAGAACAGTATCACATGATCAGTGCAGTAAATTATGATAATTTTGGCCAACATTATTCCATAATTTCAGGACTCCTAAGAGACCAAAATAGGACACAATGCCTCAGCATTTAAGCTGGCATATAGGTGGTTTAAAACTGACAAACTAATAGAACCTCTCCAACTAAAATTTTAGTCACGAAATTTGACATCACACTCAAATGTAGCTCAATATTTTTTTCACATCCGGTTTCTAATTACACCCCTTTAAAAATAAAGCTCAAGGTGTAATCAAACCCAAGATCAATAATTAATCACCTAGCATTGGAATCAATCAACGAAAGAAAAGGAGTATATTACCAAAAAACATATAGCAAGAATAAAGTGCATCACCAAACTAAACCACAATCATTAACAGAACGGCTTGCATTTCCAAACACTCAATGAGAGGAAAGTAGCATACCGTAAAAATCATATATTAGAAATAAAGTGGAGCGCACTCCTGATTCCAAAACAATAACCACACAGAAATCAACTAAAAATAATAAAGAGGGTAAAGGAGAATAGTGAAAAAACACGTATAGCAATAAGTCTGTAGATAAATGAAAACAAAATACATCTGTAACATGACAGCAACTAGGTAACAGTATAGCAGTAAGTAAGTAATAATCTAATGCAACTAGGTCATAATATATATATATATTATAACCTAGTCAGGCAATTAAGCAGGCATAAAGGATAAGCGTCTCAATTAAGGTTGCTGGACGAAATCCAGAGTTTAGATAAACGTTTAAATGATAAAGATAAAACTTGGTTAAATTATATTAAAACCTTATTAAAAATCTGCAAAATTCAAAAAAGGTAAACTATATCAAAACTTATAAAAATAGCAAAATTATATCAAATACTTAGTAAAAATTTAGCGAAACTAAAAGTTTAGACATTTAACCAAATCTAAAATAAGTTTTAACAAGCAATCTTAACCTCAATATAAAATCTAGTACTCAATCAGTTATAGAAGGCCGATACTCTTATTATAAAACAAAGTATCCAAATAGCTATAGAATACTAACAACCACAATATAGAAATTGGTATGCAAAAGATTCAGAAACAAGAAGAAAAGCTGGTATTTGATCATATGGTGGTAGTTAGATTATATAGTGGTAAAAAATATGAATAATAAGAAAGATTAAAAGAGATATCTAGAGCATAAAATAGATATCCAATATGGGAAAATAAATAGATTATATAGTAGTTTTAGATTATATTATTTAGATTATATAGTAGTATTTAGATTATATTATTTAGATTATATAGTGGTATTCGGATTTTATGGTGATATCCAGATTATATAGTGGTATACCACTTATTACCTTATTAATTAATTGGATTTTATATTATTTTTAGAATAATTATTTATTGTTTAAGTATGTTTATTGTAACATAACTATTTTTTAATCATTAATTACTCAAAATCAATTTACTAGTCTCATAATTTACTTTTAATAACTCAGCTTCTAATTATTCAAAATGTTGATGACTTAGCTTTTAGAAGAAGCAAATTACAGATATATGTATAATTGATTTATATTGTATATTTATGAAAATAAGATATATTAGCTTACAATTCTTTTATATTCTCTGGTTTTCTTATAACATTTTTTATTTCATTAGCTTGATCATCAATTTTTTATATTATATTAAAAGCATTTTTATCAGAATTAAATTAATATTTTTCAATTTAGAAAAGAAATGTATGAAATAAGTTCTGAATGTAACATATTCTTTAACTATAATTTATCTATACTAATTATTTTTAAATATAATTTTTATTTAATTACATTAATGATGCGGGTTTTGATCTAAGAAAATCAATCTCTGAGAATTTTTTATCAAAATTGATATTTTAATTGCATTTTAATTTTTATTACAATTAGACCAAAATGTAATAAGATATTAATTTTAGTCAAAAATTTCTCAGAATCTGATTTTCTTAGATCATAACTTTCAAATATCTCAAAACTCAAATTTTTTAAAAATAGTTTAGGAAGGTATCTTTAATTTATTTAATTTACATAGAATCAACTGATAAGTATTTTCTAATTTCAATTAGTTTTTATGATGATAAATTAGTAAATAAGTAAATGAGATAGTAATATTTGTTTTTATCAATAAGCATAATTTAAATATTTGCTTATAAAATTTAACTGTTGTAGCTTAATCAATCATTCATATAGAAGTATTTGATATATAATTTATAGTAGCAAATTTACATTAATTTCATAAAATTTAATATAATTTGAAATAATAATAATTAAATGTATCATAGAGCCAATTAAAATTTGATTTTAATATCTATATAGATGTAATATATAGAGTAAATACTTAAAATGCAAATTACGTTTATATATATTTAAGACTTTTTGTAATAACTTATATAATTCTAAATTTGTATGACCAAAAAAACTTAAGAAAAATATTAGATATATAATAATTAAACTAATAACAAACTGCTTCCTTTATTTATTAGCATATGATTGAGTAGACCTTTTTTTATCATAATTGTAAATCTAATTAATAAGATACTAAATAATGTTAATTTAAAATTTGTCTTATCTAATTATGAAAAAGTTAGCAAATATAACAAATTTCAATATATATTTATATTAGGATTGTAAAGCTACTTTATTATGATATTAAATTGAAAATTGCATTATCAAATATAAGTTAATAATACATATATATTCTTATATTTTTTATAAGTTTATAATATTACAATCAAGTCTAACTCAAATTGTAACTGAAATTAATATTTCACTTATTCTATTACTTCAGAGTTTATTATAATAATTTATACTCAAAAGATATTTTCTTATTTACAAGTTTAGCAAAAAAATTCTTTATTATTATTTCATATAAAATAGAATAAATATATTAATATGAGATGCTAATGTTACGGTCATGACCAGTCATAATTGTAACTAATATAAGTCAGTCAAGATTTTTGACTGACCGGTTGATTGACTAATTTTGATTGATTTTGACTAGCTGGTTACTAAACATTTTTTAATTAGTAATCCAAGAATTCTTTGTATTTAATTAATAATCATTTTAATTATGTAATTTTTTATAAATAAAAATTTTTAATTTATTTTTTAAAAAGAATTCATGATAATGCTATAAATATGAAAGTAAACTTAATATGTATATCAAGTTAGCCTAAAAAAAATAAGTAAAATATATAAAAATTTGAAGTTTTAGTAAATATCATGTTAGTATTATTTAAAACTTAAATTAAAATTAATGATTAAGAACTTTAAATTATATTATTGTTATATAGGTCAGTCAATTAGTTAATATAACTGGTTGGTCAGCCAAAGGCATCTGATCAACTAATAATTGACTGTTGATTGATTATGACTGATTGTTACCATTCTATTCCTAATATTAACCATAAAGAGTTGGATCTTTTAAATATTTGAATATTTGCAAATGATATTATTATTGAAGTTTTAAAAAAGTCTTATCAAAGAATTTAAAGGATTATTATAACATATTCTTATTCTACTTTTATTAGCTTATATAAGTGAATATGAATTTACACATTTAATTTTGTTTAAAAAAGAAAGATTACTTAAAATTGCACTTGAAAAAGGAAATTTATTTGAAAATATAGTCAGAAAAGAGAAGTTTATTTTAATTTTTTATAGAATTTATATAAATTTACATATATAATAAGTTTTAATATATTTTAATTACTTTCAATAAATAAGATTACTTGAAAAGCAGTTAGAAAAAGAAAGTTATTTGAAAATGTAGTTAAAAGAAATAAATATCAGCCTATTGATTGTTTAATCATTCTGATAATATAATTAGTTAATTTTTGTCTTTAATAAGGAAGTTTATTATATTAATGCATAATATAAAATTTTTACATATAGGCAAAATAAATAAAATTTACTTTTAAAATAAAAAGAAGAAAATTCAAATTGAGCAAGTATTAAATTATAAAAAGAAATCAAAAATAAAAAGCTAAAGAATTAATACACTTTTGATCAAAAGTTCAAGCCTTTTTGATAAAAAATTATTTAGTAAAAGAAATAAAAACCTGATGAATTAAAAATAATCAAGAAAAAATTGCTGAATTAGAGGAATAATTAGATTAAGTTATTTAAAATACAAAATTTTAGCTAATAAAATTTTTGCTTTTTAAAAATAAAAATCAGGATGACTAGGTTATGTAAAATCAAATTTTAATATGAAAACTAAAATTTTATTTTATATTGTCTTAACCAACAAATTATTTTTAATTTTTATTTATTTAATTATCTTAAAGAGATATTTAAGTATTTTGGTTAAATTCCGGTATATCGAAAAATTTTGATATACCAGATATTTTTTTGATAGTATAGTTCTTTTTTTTTTTTTTAGGCAAGTACATGTATGGTTTTTCATAAGAAATATTCCAAACTTGTGTGGTTTCTAATGTTTCTAATACTATACGTACATTCAAAACCATACTATACAGGTTTACTATATACCCTCAAAATAATAGTGCCTGAATTGTGGAAATTAGTTGAGCGCAATTTTGTTTTCATATTCCATTGTGTTAATTTCTTCTAAGAGGTCGCGATGCATGATATGCAAAAGTGGCCATATCGTTATTCAGATCAGCGTAAAATTCCGACATCTCAAGTAATATTGCAGCTATTTTTAGATTCGACTAGAAGCTGTATCAAATGTAGTAGATTGTAACTTTCGAAAGCTGCATCAATAAATTGTTGGGAATGAACATCGTTTAAAATATGACTCCGAAGCAACACTCTCAAGTGGATATCTTAATTATTATTTCATTAATTCCTTGATGAAGTGGAAATAACTGTGTAATTATGGAAAAAAATAAATAAATAAAAAGTGTTTTTGGCAGTTTTTTTAAAAAAAAATACTCGACAAAAATGTCAGATTCATCATATTGACAAATATATCGTTTTTTTACAATAATTATCCCTGCATACATATCATGTATAATAACTTTACTGCATCAATGTGGTGAAAAAACGAAATAACTATTGGGTAATAAATTAAGTTCCACAAGACAGATCGAGCATATAATGAGGGATGCATTTACTAATCACCCAGTTAGATCGGTAATTTTAAGGTGGTACTTAACAAGTAATTCTCTATTTAGTATTCTCGTTTTTTTTTTTTTTTTGATTTGGATTTACCTATTATAAATATTTTTCTTTTATTATATTGAATTGTGTAAATAGTATTCATTTATTATTTTGAAGTATACAACACTTTTTTCCTTTGAAGTTAATGCTTCTGTAATCATCGTTTATTTCATATATATATATATTTTTTATCAGTTAAAACAAATTCCCTAAATTTTGTATTTACAATTGATCAAATTAATTAAAAACACCACCATGCTGTTCATCGATAAAATTAGATGCGACACGAGCTAAGCACCTATGTCTCTCTTTCATATGGCCTCTCTCTCATATGATCCTAATATAAGTATCTAGCAAACATACCGACCATATAACGTTAAAGAGAACGATTCACTTATCAAAAATAGATTTCTATCCATAATCTTGGAGCTGCGTACCTTTCGTACCTATCTTGATCTTTCTGTGACTCTGAAAATGTATTTGATACAAAGTTCTGTCGAAGAACTATTTAATCGAATTCTTTTCAAAAATTATTCCTTGTGAAACGATAAATAATGAGTTCTCATCATAAAGAATTAAAAACCGAAGTACGAAAAGATCGATTACATGAATACTGATTACAAGAAACTCACTTCCTTTCGAATGCCAAAAGGTTCGAAAATATAATTGTCAACATATACATTATTACATGTAAAAATTTTTGGTGAGAATTCCAGAAAATATATTTATTATTTAGCAAATAGATGAACTTTTGTTCGAAAATAGAAAATTTGAATGTTTAATATACTCGAATATCAATCAATCTCATGCCAAAACTTACACAACACTGTATATTAGCTAATTCTCGGTCCCGTTGAGATGGCAATATCATATATTTTTGCGTGGTTATTGGATTTATGGGATTGCAAAGCTGTGGTAATAGAAAAAAAAAAGGTTGGCTATTTTACTTGAGACAATGAGCTAAATCAAGACGAAAAAGAGATGATGTTCATAAATAATCGCTCGAGTTCAAAAAGGGATAGAAACCTACCTAACCAAAGCAATTAAACGCGTGTTTGAATCCAAGCCAATCAATCAAATCATTCATTTAAAAAAAAACAAACCTACAGTATATAATATTTAATTATGTCAAACCGAATGATTAAATGCTAATTCAACGTCAAAATTGTTATTTGCAAAATTTTATTTGATTGAACAGCCATCAATATATGCCGACTCACCATACATCAACGCTCACCGCAGTGTGCAATAGTACAGAATTTTGGTTGTCTGTGTCTTTGACTTTTTGAGGGACAGTGGATATAGGAGATTATTTTCCAATGACACCATCAAATCCAAAAATGGAACATATTACAATTTCCAGAACTTGTGTACACACTACTTTAGTACACATTTTGTATTAAGAAAATTACAGGGTTGTGCATTAATTGGATTAATTAATAAATGTAGTCGAAATCTAAGGATTTCCAATCAATCATGTAACGGGAGGAAAGATGCGCATCAACATTTACCTCTTTTTTTTTTTTTTATTCCTTTAGACGAGAAAATTCATTAATAATAAAAACGAATTGAGCTCTTAACATGGTTGATAATGACGTAAATTTCATAGTGTATATGTTGATTTAAATTAAATGACATATACGGGCTTCAAATAGAATGGTTTCATACCAATTCAAAATTTAGAATGATAAACTCTGGGTCGGGCCCAAAACAAAGTCACCTTTACCAATTCCCATTGATTAACTCTTTCATCATATTCACGAAAAAAATTTTTGTTTTTTTAAAATAATGGCGACACGGGAAGAAATTATACGTTATTAACATTGATGATCAAATGAAGATGGTTAAGCCAAAGTCTAATGAAAATAACCGAAATTAATAATGACATTAAAAAAAATTTTTTAAAGTTTTGCCAATTTCAAAGCAATGGGCAAAACTTGTATTGTTCCTGATATGACAACAGTGCAGTGAAAAGAAAATTGTCTGGAAATAAACAAATAAATAAATTGTAAATCGTGACGCTATTTAAAGAAAAACAAACCTTATATGGGGATAAACAAATATTTTAAAACAATGGAACTTTTTCATTTTTTTTTTTTTATGGAAAGGAAAAAAAATATTTAAGAAATATCGTAATAATGTTTGGGTTTTTTGTTTGCGTTACAATTTTTTTTGCCCAAGTGAAAAAAAAAAAAAAAAAAAGAACAGTAAAAAGGTTCATTTGATTGGCCGAGAATATTCTAGTAATTGATATTTAAAGGAAAAACTTTGTTTTATCGGTAAGCTAGCAAATATTTTTTTTCCGAACCTATCAATTTCAAAAAAAGAAATAAAAGAAGATTTATTGAAGACAATATGACGAAATGTTTTGTTTGATATTGATAAGATTCTGAGGGATTTTCATTTACTTTAATAACGATGTATTAGGACTGATTAAATATCTATAATGATTAATTTGTAAACAAATTTATTGATTTGATAAAGGACAATACGATTGATTTTAATCTGTCTGATAAATTTCAATTATGGAATAAAGTTTTTTTTTTTTAAAAAAAAATTCCTAATTAAAAAAAAGCCAATTTCTGGTTTTTCTTTGTCATTTACATCTCACGCCACAAAAAAAAAAAAAAAAAAAAAAAAAAAAAGAACAATGGTTTTTTGGTACTTATCTTTTTTTTACCTTAGTTTTTTGAAATTTCCAATCGCGCCATTTTACTTTATTGAATATACATTTAAATGGTATTTTACGCGCAGTTATTTATAAATTGAATACAAATTGGATCTGTTGCTTACTCTTTGTTTCACCTTTATTGTTCGCGATATTACATACAGTAAACGATATAAATTCTTGCATATGAGGACTTCACATTACAAAAGGAAGTATAACAATTGACTCCGCAATTGTATACATAAAAAGTTAAAGGTTATCAATCCTGTTATTTGATTATTTGGACTCAGTTCCAGCTCAGAAAATCAAAGACTGAGTTGGTCCCGAGAAATTCATGCAAAACTAGTTATTATTATATTGATTTATCAAAAAGTACCCCAACAAATTTCATCTTTTGGGCGCTCTTCTACATTAATCTAATCTTATTTAAATTCTTATATTGTATTAGACGCGTAATACTTTAAAGTAAACCATTTTATAGATATAAGCTCAGACAATGGATCATATGACCTTCAATACTAAAATTATTTAATTATTTTATATGTATATATATTTTTTACCATTAAGGGATTTGTAACGTTACTTTTTCTGCCTATTTTTTTTTCGCCAACAGATTATGAGTCATCTGATTCCTTTTTTGCATTTTTTTTAATTGCGAACAAATTATAAATTGCAAATTTTGGAATAATTAAATTCAAAATAAGATTGATTCATTAATTACGCGTCTTATCAAATGTAGAATATAATTAGTCACAATAACAATGTATTTTAAAGATTATATTGTTTTTATTTAGAATTAAATTATTCCGCATTTATCTTTGGAAATTTTTTTTTTTTTTTTTTTTTACCGTTTGTTGTACCGCAAAAAAAAATCGTCACTTCTGAAGAGGACGACGGTTTGAGTAGGTAATCTTCAAATTATCTTTTTTTCTTAATTAGCTTTTTCTGTAGTCATTTCGCAAATGAAATGATTGATATATTGGCGAAGGACGTACGTAAAGAATATACAATTTTAAAGAAGATAGAGTCTTAGGCAAACATCAAACCCCAGATTTTTTTTTTTTCCCTCGGAATATTTGAATGATAGGTCTGAGAGCTTCGAAAAGTATGTGTGGCGTTTTTGCATTTTACCATATTACATATTATCAATCAAGATAATCTAACCGAATTATGATTCTAAGAATTTTTTTTTTTTTTTTTTTTTGCAAAAAAAGGAATATTCATAGCATATACATACACCTCCCATCATCGCAGTTTTCCACAGTAAATTCTGCTTATGCATTTCTTTTTTGCTAAGGTAGAAACAACCTTTTGTTTTATATAAAGAAATTTTTTGTAAGGCAATTATCCATTAACAAACACACACACATATACACATATATCTTGGCAACTAGGGGTTTTATTGTTTGATAAAAAATATTTATATATAATGTTTCTTATGTTGGGAATACATAAATTATGCAAGCTAAAATCTTTAAGGGAAATGGTCACGGTTTGTCTGACAATCGTTAATTCAACCAAAAGTCGCTGGCCAATTGGTCAAATAAAGCCGTTTTAAACATTTCAATCAAGTCACTAGGATTGAAATTTTGTCATGACTTTCAATTGAGATTTTAAGCCCAAAACGAAGAAGGAAAGGGAGAGAAAGGGAACAACACTTATCAATCCACGAATTTTTTAATCGAGGATGAGGTCTATTGAGAGATTGGACACTAAAGAATACATTAATTATTGTACTTAAGAATAATATGTTATGTATAATTTTAATAAAAATTGGTTGATTTTTTAAAACTCTTCCTTATAAATGTTATAAATGTGACATTTTGAAACTTAATTTCTTTTCCAGTCTGACTTATGCTTAAACTTGCTTAACATGTTTAATTGTGCTCAGATTTTGCATAATTTTTGGCCGAAATTATCCTGATGTTGCCATGAAAATAAAAAAATAAAAATTTTTTTCTTAATCCCATTGAATCCCATTGAAATCAATGAAACTATTTAAATTCATAAAAAAAAATCTTTATTAAATATTTGTTAATTTTTTTTAAAAATATATATATATATATTTTTGGTCATGTCAGAAAAAAAAGCAAAAATCAATTTTTGAGTCAAAATAAATAAGGCATAATATTTTAAAAAAAATGATAAAATCATAATAATACCTAACCTAATTTTTTCAATAATTAATTTAGGTATCACTTTTTAATTTAATGCTTTTTGTAAAACAAACAAAAGTACTCCACAATTTTGTTATATCCAACAATTACCGCTTTCTTTATTTGTTAATAAAAAAAAATGGTGTCAAAAATGTATAAATAGTAATATGATGGTTAGTGTAGTGCAAGATTTGATCGTAATAATAACCCACTATGTTTTCTTTAATTTGAACCCCGCACTTTTTATCGCTGTGATTCCCCCGCATTCTCCACATTTCTTCCTTTAATCCGAAACACCAATGATGCATCATTAGATAATATATTTTTGTGTAATAACGATGGGGGGTTTTTTTTGACAGTATTTATATTATTTATATAAAATATATATATATATATATTATATTAAATTATATTATATTATGTCGACCTGAATCAAAAAACTTGATAACCCTATCTCGGACATGGAATAAGTTTGACAAATTATCATGATTGTTCATTTGCTCATTATTTGCCTAAAGTGTCCGAGTGTTTTGACCCTTCCGAAAAATATTTCCTTAAAAAAATTGTAACTACCAATGGTAGCTTTTTATACGTCATCGCGTCGTGATGGGGTTTTATCTGATCAAACCAACTATCCAATAATATTTTCCATCACAAGATTTATCGATTGCGAGTCTTCGGATATTTAATAACAAGTATTAATCTTGTTGAAAGGGAAAAAATTACCCCTTGCTTATTAGGAAAAAGAAAACAAACAAACCTGCCTGTGATCGGATCGTGAAAAATAATAAAATCAAAAAAAAATCAAAAAAAAAAAAGAATTAAATAAAAAATAAATGAAATTATATACATATATATATATTTGTATTTATAAAAAATATTTGCTTGTTTAAAAATTCCTTTGTTTTAAAAATGTTAAGCTTATCTCTGAGGAAAATGGTTTTAATTTTTAAAAAAAAATTCATTATTATTTAAATAATAATGCAATAATATAAATAATAAAACTAGATCAAAAACTTGATCCAACAACACTTTTGGTTGGTCATAATTGATCGGTGCCCAAAGCACAAATATCTAAAAATGACCCACTGCAAAATCTCGATTAATAAAAAAAATGTTTGTTATGCCCGTTCCTGCTTTTCACTAAAAGAAAAATGTGGAGAAGATAATAATAATATGATCATAATGATCATAATTTATTTTGTTAAAAAAGAAAATAATCGAGCGCACTGACACTCCTAAACAAAATCATGCGCACGGTTATTCTATTCCATTCGGCTCATTTGAAATCTGATCAATGAATAAATATGTCTGTGCTAGACGCTAGATAAATGGATGATCTTTATTTACTCATTGAAAACAATTTATATATCAAAATGTGGGGAAGTTTATTATTAGCTTTAAATTATTTTATATACAGTATATATATTGTTTGAAAGAATAAACCAGATTTACTTCTCCACAAAAAAAAAAGGTGTAAAAAAACTCAATCCCATTATATCCTGAGTTTGCTCTGAGTTATCTACTTATTATTTAATCATAATTTATGACCTCTGTGTCAGAAAACTCTAATCATGTTCGCACGTGAATCTTTTAACAACGTATCTCGATCAGTTTACATCGGCGGTTTACCTTGTTTTTCTTTTAAAAAAAAAAAGCGGAACTTATGCGTCTACATGCTATCGGGAGGATATCTTGAGATAAACGACCACGTTTTGTATTTTTTTGCTTTAACTTTTTTTAAATTTGAATCGACAAAATGAATTCTTCCGTTCATCGTTAAAACTTTACCACATTTCATTGTAACGCATTAAGAGAATTCTTGGAACCTTGGCATCCACTTCGTAAAAAATTTTCTATTGACAAGAAAATCTCGCTTCTCTTAAGCTCAAGGAACGATGTTTTTTTTTTGATCGAAACAATAAGCCTTTCGTTATTATCGATTTTTTTTACGCGACTAACATTTTTCAAGTCAAAAAAATTTCTCGTTTTTTGAAGTTTCAATAACGCGAACTCATTTTTCAAAAAAAAAGCAGTGGTTTATAACGTTTCATTTTTCAACATTTTTCAACAAAAAAGGCTTTAAAAACAGGCGGATCATGATTTTTTTTTTAGTATTTTTCTTGCAAGAAAACTTATTTTTATTTTTTTTGAAATTTATAATAGATTTTTTTTTTTTTGATCTATTCTTTTCTTTTATGAAAAGAACTACTAATTAAAACTAAATTTTTCGAGGATAAAATAAAAATAAAAGAGATTTTGTACAAACAAAACATATATATAGTACAAGTTTATAAACAAAAAAAAAGAAATATTTTTCACGACCCATCCCAAAAAAGAAAATATATATTTTTAAGAAAAAAGAAGAAAAAAAGGTCACCTTTTTTAACCAAAGTTTTTTTTCTCCAAGGATAGTTAGACACCTTGGAAAATTATTTTTAGTCAAAAAAAGGAGAATCTTTAAGAAAAAAAAATGAAAATTTTCATAGATAATTTGGATACTTGTGGAATCAGACAAAGAAAAGAAATTCGAATAAACTACATGAAAAAAATGTTCATTATAAGACGAGAAAAGTGATGGAAAAGGGGATTTTTTTTTTTTTTTCGCGTAATCTACCCAAATTTCAATATGGTTTTTTTTGTTGTTGTTGTTCCTTCTCCAAAAATTCTTCCTTAAATTGAAAAATATCCCCGAAAATAAAAATTATCAAAAAGTTCAATAGAACCTTAATATCTATCATATATATACCGGTATATATGGAAAAAAGGTAATTTTTTTGGACAAAGGTGAAAAAATATAAAGAAAAAAATAGGAAAGAAATAAAAAAAATAAACGCAAACTTGGACTATTTTTTTAAGGACGAGAAAAACGAAGAATATTCTGCAGTATACTCCTTGTTTGTAAATATGTTTGGCGTTTTTACCAGTTTTTTCTCCCTTTCCGATTTTCAAAAGAGAAGTTTTGTTTCCACCCCGTCAGCTTATATAATATAAGATAATAATAATAAACATATATACATTTTGGTTTCTCCGCTAGTCGGAGGTGTAGAAATATAAAATACATAATAAAAATTTTAAATTCTTAAGGTGTTTTTTTGTAATCTTATGGTATTAAAAGAAGGAATTTAAAAGATGATTTGTTTCCGTTCTTTTCTTGAGTTAATATTAATTTATGAAAATATTAACCCTCAAAGGAAGCGGTATAAATCATTTCGGTAGAACCTTCTTCTATATCTTAATTTTGAAGTAAAATTGTGTATTTGATAGGAGAGGGGAAAATTATTAAGGACAGTCGACTTTATAAGAGAAAAAATTTTACAGGGTACGTTTATAAAAAAAAGAAAAAAGGGAATATTTTACAGAAAAAAAAAAATGTTCAATTAATATATATATTTCGTTTTTTGCGTCCTTTGGACAATGTTCATTTTTTTTTCGTTTTAAGAGATTGAAGAAATATTGTTTGGTAGGTCTCTAACATCTCAATAAATCATCTAAGCTGCCCCTCCAATTACCCGCACCGGAGGAAGTATTTTGATTTGCTCCAACTTCGAAACCGCATCCGAGACCAAGTGCGTTCTCGCCGGAATATGAAGTGTGACCAAATTGAGTTTCACCAGAATATGTGAATCCGCCAAAGGCATCATTCATTTCGCTATTTATCGACGCGTTCGTACCATTTCGGCTCAAGTTTTTTGATACTGAAGGCCAATCAATATTGGTTTCTTCCTCGGTGAAAGCTGGATCGAAACATGAGACGTCGTCATCTGATGAAACGTTTGGTTTAAAAGGTGGGGAAACTTGTTTTCGGTATAAAGCATCCCAGTCAACATTTGCGAAGAATGGGTGATTTTTAATCTCTTCAGCGTCATTCATTGAACCTAATCTATTATGTGGGTTACGAGCGAGAAGCCCCTTGATTAAACTTTTAGCTTCATCACTGAAGAAACCTTTTGGGAACTTGAGTTTTCCGAATAAGATTCTACGATACATGAGTTGTGTGTCGTTTGTATAGAAAGGGCTGAAACCGGCAATCATCTCATAAAACAAAATTCCTAAACTCCACCAATCAACGGATTTACCATATCCACACTCGGCCAAAACTTCTGGTGCGAGATATTCTGAAGTACCACAGAAAGTATTGGTCGTTTGACCGGCGGCGAGATTTTCTTTACAGAGACCAAAGTCACAGAGGGCGATGTGACCAGTAGCGTCAAGTAAGATATTTTCGGGTTTAAGATCTCTGATAATTGTCAAAAGGTAAAATTTGAATGTTAATAATCATGTATAAAATTGTACACACATCCTTAAACAAATGAATTAGATCAATGAACATCAAGTTTACCTGTAAACGATGTTGTATTTGTGTAAATGTTCCAAAGCTAAGACGATTTCAGCTGCGTAGAATTTGGCACGTTCTTCACTAAGTCTAACTTCATTTTGCAAGTGCCAAAATAATTCCCCACCATTCATAAAATCGGTTACCAAGTAAAGGTGAGTACGAGTTTGGAATGAGAATTTAAGTCCCACCAAGAATGGGCAGGCTTCAGCTTGAATGAGGATATTCTTTTCGGCCAAAGTATGTTCTACTTCACGACGTTCGATCAAATCTTGTTTGTGAAGTACTTTCATGGCATAAATACGATTCGTATCCTTTTTACGAACTTGGAAAACTTTACCAAAGTTTCCTTTACCAATCAATTTGAGAATTTCGAATGAGGCAGGTTTCATATGAGATTTCTAATCAGATGGGAATGATAATAAAGAAAGGTTTAAAATGAATAAATGAATTTCAGAAAGGTTAAAAACGAATGAATATCATTTTAGGAGATGATTCATACCGAAACTTCAACTTTCTCGTATGCGATTTGAACACGAACTTCTCCGGTAACATGTTCTTTACCTCTTGGTGACAATCTGTGATGAAACAAAAGTAACAAAAAAAAATGATTAATATAAATTGAATCAAAAGAGAAAAGGACAAGTGAAGATTAATTCAAAGATATGTCACTTACTTGAACCAAGCGTCAATCATTTGATTGGGGCGTCTAGGGGGCTGAATTTTCAACAAACCGAGAAAGATTTCAGGTTGAGAGTTATGAACACGCTCGTAAACTGATACGCGTACTTCACCATCAAGACGTGCAACGTCACTAATATATATAACGTAAGGAAGGTTAGATCAAATCTCTAAGATGAACCTTAACTAATGAATTGATCACAGAAGAGATGAAAGAAGAAAACTTACAATACAGCCTTTTGCTTCCATACGGGCGAAGTTGCTGCGCGAACTAGATCCAAGAATTCCATTTGCTTTCCACCTCTTGAGATGGGCAAGTCACTATCTCTGATCGCTTCACGAGTAACGAATTCATTGCGTTCTACTTCAACAACACAGTAAGGTCGTGCTTGAAAGTTGCTTACGTTAAGTTTTCGTCCTTCAACGATATTAACTGTAAGACGACCGGTAAGCGGAGTTTGCGAGACATTATTGAAGTTGTTTTCCGATTCGTTACGAACAGACTTTGAGGAATGTTCTTGATTGCTTGTTAAATTCAAAGACATTGGCATTGTGGGATTTAGTTCTGGTGAGGAAGGTGGCGTTGGAAGGTATTTATGAGGTTTGCTCCAATGATCAACTAATTTATATAGATTATTCATATTTTCTTTTTCTCGACGTAAATATATAGTGCGTTAATATTAATTACTCTATGAAGTGTATGTTTTAAATACACAAGCCTTTAAACATTTATATTATTATAAATAATTGATATTGAAAAAAAGAAAAAAAGAATATTGATGGTAGTTTTTTTTTTTTTTTTGAATCCTAAGTGGAATAATTGACAATACTGCTCTAAAAGTCGTCTTTTTATGCAGTGCGGGGTATTAATTTACAATATTCTTTTTATTTTTTTATTTTATTTTATTATAGGCGTATTAGTGCAGAAATAAAAAAAAAATTCTATTATTTTTGAGACGAATTTGTTTGTTGATTGTTAAAAAGGTTATAGCTACTCATTTAATACTAGGATAGAGTTCACTTGGAAGATATTTTTATTTTATATAAAAAAAAAAAAAAAAATTTTTTTTTTGCTTTTGCTTTAATTTACTGCAAAAAAAAAATTTTTTTTTTTTTTTTTTTTTTTGATATTAGACAAATAACTGTCATATAAATAATTTTTTTATCAAATAAAAAAAAAGGAAGAAAAAAATTTTTTTTTTATTTATGTGCTTTTGTATATAGTTGATCTTTTCCTTATATATTTGTCAACATATTTAGGCGTTTTAGAAAAAAAACTTTATTTTATTTTAACTTGTAGAAAAAAAAAAAAAATAAAAAAAAAAATAAATATTGACTCGTATTTTGTGAATTGTTTAGATTTTATTGTACAGGAAAAAAATTTATATATTAAATTTCCTTATAAAAAGTTTGTTTGTTTTTTTTTTAACGTACCTTTTTTTTATATATATAAATACAATAATTTACATTGTAACGTTGGATTCGGACTTTTACGAAATATTTTGCATTTGTTTTTAAAAAACATTTACATTCCCAATAAATTATTATTTGAAACAATCAGAAAAAAGGAAAGTGAAATTATTCAAAAGGGTCTATGACGTATGGGAAGAGATGCCCACCTATATTTGCATAAAATATGTCTATATGAATAGATAAGATGTCGAATGTAATGCAAAAGCAAAGCTGACATGCATATAAATGATTAAGTCATTTATAATATTATCAGATTGAAATTAAAGGTGAAATATTGTTGCCCCAGAAAAAATGCACATATCATTTTAAAGTTATCAACCCACAACACAATTAAATGGGTCGACAAACAGATTGTTTCGAGCGTTATTATCAAAGCTCCTTTGAATAATAAAAAAATATTTCCGTAATGGAAGAATAAACTAAACATCATTCATTGTACTGCTTATTTATTTATTTACTTTTATATTAGTTAATACATTAATTAATGCTGTTCCAATATACCATTGTTGTTCAATTAAGTCTTACCGAAGCAATGATCTCTGAGCATCGGCACGTTTTGAAATTTCTCACATTTCTGCAATGAATAATTGGGAAGGACAGAATGCTTTTGGGATTGTGTGTGTATTCTCTGCTCTCTCCTCGTAAACATTAAATCATCTTACGGGATTATTGATTCGATTTTTTGAAGCGATAATGCGATAATGTCATTCATTCTCCTTCTGATAATAAAGCAAAGATAATCATTTATTTGTTATCAACATACAAGCATCAACCATTTTTTTTCCCCTCAAAAAAGAAAAAAAAAATTTTTTTCCAGCTTGGGCGCTTCCCACATTTTTGTTTTTTTTATGTTATTGGGTATCCAGATCTAATTAATAATCAGATCGTTTTGATATCTCATTGTTTCACCAAACTATTATGGTGCATGCATAATCTCATTACACACAATTGATTCTAAATTTTCAGGTTATTATCATCATAATTGTTCTATTTTATTTAAAATCATCAATTCAAATTTGGTAATTGTCCCATCTCCCCATCCATTCTTAATTAAAAATTTGGGTTCCGCATAGAGGTTCCGTACATTCGGATAAAAAACTTTAAAAAATAAATAAATTACAAATTTCTCACTCCACATTTCTTTCATAATTGGCAACACAAATTTCTATTTTTTTTTTTACTTAATAAAAAGAACAATTCAGAATTTTTTTTCAAAAAAAAATGGTTGCATCTATATTATTGTTTCAAAAAAAAAAAATGGATTTTTGACAAATTTAATTAATTTGACATTACTTTAAAAAATAACAGACAGAAGGTATATATATACATAACGCCTTTCAAATATTTACTTCTTGTCTCACCCAGCAACAAAAGCTTATGTGGCTTGCATCACAGAACAACTCGGAGTTTTGTCACCTCATTCCTTCTAAATACCTTTTACAAAATTATCGTTACGCCAAAAAAAAAGTTTTTCTAGTAGAGATTTTGGACGCGTAAGGAATAAATGAATTTTTGATTATTGGTGAATAGAAGGTAGAGAACAAACCAACATTTTTAAAACATTCAAAATTGAGAAAATATCTTTATAATCCTGAATTAATTAATGATTGATCACTTGACCTGTGATTTCTGTGGATCTTAAATTTTAATCTATCCATAAGGAGTTTCATAGTAAATGCGCAGCTCGAACCAAAAACTTTACGGTTTCATCATACGATTGTAGAAGGAAAGCGTTGTTGTAACCTTTATTCTAGCAAATTTCCCAATTAATATTTATTAAAGGGATAATAAATGGTACCAAGATTGTTTTTAAAGGGCTAATATCAGATGACAGAAAACAATGTCGGTGTAGCCCGTCTCGTCACTTCGCTTGTTGAAAAAAAGAAAGCATATCCTTTGTGCATAATTTTTGAGTTTCATGTTTGAATCGTTTAACAATGAATGGAGTTCAATGGAATTTTCTCCATTGTTTGATATTGGTTCATATCGAATGCGTAAACTTTTTCTTTATTGATGAGGCGTTACCGCATTGGTACAATGCGTAATCGCGTATCTTTTGTATGTTCAATGATGAATAATTATTGTTCTCTCGAAGGTGAATTAATAATCAAATAATAAAAAAATTTTTTTTTAAAATAGATTCCAAATTATTTGATTTGGATGTCGATCGGGTAATTTTACGGAGAATTTTAAGACTTGAATGTTTACAGTTATCTCATCAGTTTTACCCCTCATTGTGCTACAGGATTTTATTTTTTAAAAAAAAAAAAAAAATAGAGAATGCATTTTTAAATTCAAATTGTGTGTTGATGCGCTTTGTTTCATGCAAAGTTTGGACCAATTTGAAAAATAACAATCGAGATGATTTGAATTCTTCGTTTCTATGACGAGAGGAAATTTTCTAAATCTAATTTACAATGTTTTTTTTACGGTTATAGCAATATAATAAATATAATTTACTTATTTTTTATTTACTTCATTTTTTCATGCAGTTTGGCGCATTCGGGTTGCTAATCTTTATAGAGATTAACTAATATAAAGTGGGGTAAAAACAAAAAAAAAAATTTTTCTGCATAATAAATGTGTGGGGTAAATAAAATATATAGCCCTTTACCATTTAATTATTTTAATCAATTAACGCATGACGCCCAATATCTATTTTTCATTTTTTTTTTTTTTTTTTTTTTTTTAAAAAAAATGAAAACTTTGAAAATCTTTCTTTTTTCTCTTTTTCTTTTTTTTTGTCTCCACAAAAAAAAAAAAAGACTTGCAGACATTATTTTTTTGTTTAACAAAAAAATTTTTTTTGGAGATAATAATTTTAATTGTTCTAGAAGATTATTGTTTTTTTCAGATGGAGAGAACTTAAAAACAAGGTGTGTAAACATGAAGCCATTGTTCCGTTTTGGTGAGCCTTTGATAATAATATGAAACCTTTAAAAAAAATATATAAATATACTTTTTTTTTTTTTGACTGGGCAATAAAGTTCTATGGTAATTAAATATTTTGAATTTGTGAAACGTTAGAAATCAACTTTTAATTAAAATTGGGTGTTTAAGTTTTCCTCCTTCCGTAACAATAACGGTTGTCCCAAAATTTAGAAAAAAAAATATTAAAGTTAAGCCATTTTTGTTGAATGAATAAGAACAATAGTGCAACATAAAAATATTCCAAAAGGAGAACAATCAAACCACAAAGACTTTTACATAATTATGGTTTATGCAAAGAGTTGGTCAGATGATTGATTGACTAAACTTTAAAATTGGGTTGGATGATTACAAAGAAAAATGGGACATCACGCTACATTTCACGTGATCAAATTTAATAGCGAAGCCATTGGTTTTTTTATTTGTTTTGAAAAAAGTGAAAATAAACAAGTTAATTTAAGACATGTAAACGTCAAGTGAGTGATGTTAAAACGCCGAGTATGATTGTGGGGTATCGTAATTCAATTTTAATTAATTATATTTTTCGATTATCTTTTATTCTTCAAAGATAATCGGAACCCCCCCCTTTTTTTTGTTAAATTAAAACGAGAAATAATTCTAGTTGATTACTTTTGTTTGAAGTTTCCGGCTAAAAATCTTGTATGATGATTGAATATTCCATTGTTTGCCATTTTTGTCAAGTTCGTACTCTTATTCTACGAATTCCTTTTCTTCGTTTATTTTTTTGGAAAAAAAAAGATAATTTGTTTATTCGAATTGGAGCACAGAACAATTTCAAGCACACAAAGGTGAATATTCATTCAATATCTTGCATTGAACAAGAATTCTTTTTTTTAATGACAACATTGATTCAAAGAATCATCATCATACAAAAAAAATTTTTTTTATGATAATGCAGTGATCAGCAAGCGACTTATTTATTTTTGGGGTAAAAAAAAAATAATAATTTTATACGGTGAAAGTCATTCATGTATGCGTTAAAAATAAAAAATAATTCGTTACAATTGCAAGAATCAAAAAAAATTGAGCTTACGAAAAGTCCGCTAATGCAAGAAGATTTCCTAAAACAGTAATTTTTGAATAAAGAAAAACTAAAATAATTAAAAATTGGTCTAATGAAGAAAAAAAAAATTCTCTCGAATCCCATTTGATTACATAAACTTCAAAAAAAGATTTTATCCCATTGTCTATTTTTTTTTTTTTTTTTAAAAAAAAACAAATGTTGAATTAGTGCAGCCCCGAAAAAAAACGAATTTTATCTCGGTGGCAAAAAAGGTCGTGTTTTCAATGCTGTTTTATTTTTTTCCTATTGTCCAACATTGTTCATACTACGCCATATGACAAAACATTTTTCGCAGTTATTATTATATCATCAGATGATATCATGATGATACACAAATAATAAGGTTATTATTCCAGTCGGTGTTTAAATTAATCTTTTATTGTCTAGTTTTAAAAATTGGTTATAAAAAACGAAAACAAAATGGTAATTCCCATTGTTTAGGCCACTTTAAGATGTTCCACCTACTTTGTTGCTAAAGTTTCCTTTGGCTAAGATGTTCGATCATGAGAACTACCATGCCTAGCATGGTTGATAATTAAGTTAAAAATTCAAGGTTGAACGTCGGCCTCCCCAGTTTTCTCCACAACAATCGATGACACAAAATCTGTTGGGGTAAAATTTAGGCGAAAGGCTATATATCATTAGCCAACGAAAAATATAAATAAATAAATAACAAAAAAATTTTTTTGAGAATGCGAGAACTTGCTATTCTTGTTTATTAATTGTATACATTTTATTCCCTTTTTAAGAAAATATTATTTTTTTTCTTTTGTTACTAACAAAATCAATTATTTCCATAATTGAAATAAAATTCAAAATATTTAGCACATAAATATATAAGATAATCACTTATTTGTTTATTTATTTATTTTTAAAGAAAAAAAATTACTGGAGGTGGTTTGCAAAGGAAAAATTTTTTCAACCACGTTTGATAGACTTTTTGAAAAAAAAAATGTTGTGTTAATGTTTTTTTTTTTCGTGTTGCAAATTTTAAGTTTTGGTTTTTGGTGAGATAAAGATAACGTGTAAAAATCTGGTCTTTATCGAGAGGTTAATAATAGTCTCTGTATTCCGTGAGCTTATTGAGCATGGCATCTCTCTTTGGACCTGATTTTTGCAAAAAGAGCTTAAACCTTTCTGAATCATAACGGGATGAAGTCAAATGAATTAATTAAAAAAAGGTTTAGGTTACTGAGTGATAACCGAGTAAAAAAAACCACACATTCTTCTTTATTATGTTTTTGTGATACAATTATCAGGTCAGGCAGGACAAATAAATATTTATTAAACAAATGTTTCGCCACGGTTTTTTATTTTTTTTGGCTGAGAATAATTTTGGGTTGTTTACGTTGGGCCAATGTAATGAGGTTTTGTTTATGTGTATGTGGGTCACGCTTAAGTTTTAATTCCAGCGAAAAAAAAAAAAAATAAATAAGTCATATGGCCAAACTTTGAGGTAATAGGAACAATCAGATTTTTCTGTAATGGGTAGATTTTTAATGTTAAATTGGGTCTCAAATCGTAAATCGTAATAAACCTAAATCCATCTTTTTATAAATGTTATTATTTGTTTTTCCATCCCTTTGCCTTACCTTTACATGAATAAAGTAACAATGATTATGTTGGAATATGCAAGCATTGCCTCTTTGCTTCTAATCCCGTTTTAGCTTGAATAAAAGGGTTTTTAAGCCCTATAACACCAAATGTTATTTCTTGGGGTTTCCTTCTGGGAAAATAGTAAAAGCAAAAGGTCATCATGGCAGATTTGTTTGAGTCATTTGTTTTTTGTTTACCATTATTACTATATTAAGTGGTTTAAAATTTCTTTTAGTTTCCGACAAAACTCCTGTAAGATGAAACATTTACGTGCGTCTTACATAACTGTTATAATTGGCATTTCTTGTTAAAGGTATCACACAACAAGTTGTTTTGAACGGAACTTTAAATGATGCGTGAATATTTTTTTTTTATGCGGTTAATTTCGACAACTCACAAAGCAAGATGAGTTCGTTTATTAATAATTTATCCCCCATGTTTCCATATTTGAAAGATTTTTTTTTTTCCCTTAAAAATAACTTTATTCGTGTCCAATCGGTCGGTCAATCATGTGTGTAACACTTATCTTATTGGGCTGAGCGTTTCACCGACTGGCATTAAACCATATAGAGATATTTCTAGTTCAAGCTCCACCAAAAACACTTTCGATGACTTTTGGGTCCGAGAGGTATTACGTCACAAGTGTGGAACTGCGAACAACGCAATTGATATGTGGTCCGTAATCGCAAAAACCGCCCTTTTTCTAATCGACCAACTAAAAAAAAATGCAACTAAGCGTGATAATGAAAATTGGATCTCGAAATATTAAATCTTTAATAAGTATGATCCATCAACGATTTTAACGCTTATGGGAAAAAAAGGGGGTCCGTTCGTTCTGAATTAAGTGGGTAATTCTAATGTTCAATGTTCAAAATCAGAACAGAAAGGCAAGGTAATGAATGTGAAAGCTCGTGAAAAAAAAAAATTAGGATCGTCCTCTCAATATATATATTTATATATTTTTTTAAATAAAAATTAAAATAATAAAGGTTTCCTTTATTTGATATCGAAAGACAACTTTTAGTGTCTGTGAGTTGTTAACTGTATTTGAGTAGTACGCGGGGTCGAGACGTTGTGCGGGGTGGGAATTTGACAAAGTGGCCAATAATGAAAATCCAAACAGGGGGGTTTTTTTTTTCAAATTTCATGATTTTTTTATGCATGACGTTATACAACTTATTTTTTTTTGTGATAAAAAATGCGACAATCCTAAATGTACTGTATGCTAATGTGATTTCGAATAAAAATGTTGCTGAAATGATAAAAACAATAAATATATGATCAACATTACGCGTTATTATTCTATCACTATAACAAAGAAAAAAAAACGAAACACCTGTTTGTCAACAGTTTTATTTTATTTTATTTTTTTTTTAAGAAAAAAAAAAGTTTATGTATGTAAATGTGAATTAAAAAGTTAAAAGGCTTAATAAACACTTGAAAAGGTTCAGTCAATGAATATTTTATTTGCGCGAGGATTAATTAATTATTACCTTTAATTTAAAATTAATCTCTACCTAATTAAGTAATGAACGGAGTTAATTTTTATTAAATAAGCGGGGCTTGGTTAAACTTAATTACCAAAACAAACATTGAACAAAGAAATCTGTAAATTATCTTTTGAGATCACGATATTTTATGAGTAATATTCATCATTTAAAATTTTATTTGGAATTAATTAAAATTATTTCTATTTCTTAAAATGTGGACTGTACAACTAATTGATAATTATCAATGAAAAAACTTTTCTGTTAAAGAAGGATCCCCTTGATGATCTTTGGAATCATTTCATTTAATGATGGAAATAATTTAAAAATCTGCAACAAAAAAAACGCCAATTGAAAAAAAAAAATTCCCTGAAAAAAAATATGTATAATTTAGGAAAATTATCACCTGGAGTAATGTATGCGTCATATAACGATTATATTTGCTGAAAATAACCGTGCGGACGCCAAGAAAATTCTTTGATAAATTATTATTTTAAAAGTAAAAATTTTTATCAATCGACAACAGACATTGTTCATAGTTTCACCAGATTTATGCATCAAGAAGAAATAAATCGATGCAATATAAACCAGAGCGCGTTTGAATACACTAAATACTAGTGGTTTGAATACTAATATGTATGTATGTATACATTTCGACCTAGAAACAGTATTGCATTATGTTTTAAACGGGTTCCTTGTTTTACCGTCTATTAACACAAAATTTTAACTTTATGAATGGATTTTTTTCCTATAATCACGTTAATTTGCTGGCCCAAAAAATTTATAATATTGTAATTATTTTTGCTTTTTACAAATCAAAATTACATATATTAACGTTAATTAAAAACTATTATTACTTTTTCGTATTCATTTTTTTATGAAAATTATACATATTTTACTAGGTTTTTATTTGATCTTAATAATTGTTTAGTTTTATTTTAATATATTGTATATATATAATTTATTATCAAAATAAGATTAAAATGAATCTGTATTGGATCACATTAAATTAATTGAATAATTATAATCAATTTATATTTATTTAATCCTTTTGATAACAAGAATAATTAGTATAAGTTCCAAAACAATTTTCATCTTTATTTATTAAGTTGATCCTTGATCATATCAAAAATTCTGTAAAAACAATGCCTTTAATTATTATAAAAAAACAAAAATTATTTGCATCTGAATTATGATCCCAAATGAATAAAATATTACAAGTATTTTTTTTTATATTTTTATCATTATTGTTATTGGTATTTTGAAATTATTTAATTTGTTTATTAATTATTAAATTAATAGTATTTTTTTTTTATATTAAATATTGTAATTCTATATATTTGAAATTTTCATATTTAATTTAAATTATAGCAAAACACATTTTTTGTTAATACAAATTTAAAGTCTATATTTTAATATTTTAATGTAAATAGCATTTTTAGTAAAAATTTTATTTTTGTAGAAAAATGTGTGATTGGTTATTAAAATAACTAATAAAACATAATAAATTATATAATCTTTAAGGTGATTTTAATAGTATATCACTCATAAATTATAAGTTATTAATCTAAATTTATTGTTATTAAGTATAAAATTTATAGTATTTTAGTTAATATATATAGATTAAAATATTGAAAATTCTGAATAAATTGATTCAAATTGATTTATAAATAGCTAATATTCAATTTAAAATAATTAATTTGATTTGAATTTAATCAGATATTATAAAATTTTCAATCATTTCAATAAAATTTAATCAATTATTACCAAAAAAATTAGCATATTAGTCATAGTCAAAGTTGCTTAAGTACAGATTTTACTTGATAAAAAATCATTATAAATTATTTATAATTTTTAGATAAATAGAAAATCAGTTATTAATTCAGTACTTAATATTAAAATTAATCCAAAATAATTAAGTAATTATTTATAAAAAACATGTTAATAAAACTTATTTACCATATAGTTCTGAAATTAAACATATCAAATTAAACACATCAACATTGTATAAATATTCTGAAATTAAGCATGCCAACATTATATATCCTAAAATTGTAACAAATTCATTATTATTTATTAAAGAAAAAAAATATACAAATAAAGATAAAATTATTAATTATTCTTTATCATTATCTGAATTAAATGTATCAAAAAAACAATTTCATTAGTATTATTATATATAAAGTCAATATCAAAAGTAGAATCATCTTCTAGTATAATCATTTCGTATCTAATATTATAATGCTGCAATTAATACAAATAGCATAAATGAATTAAAGATTCTAAATTAAAATTCTTACCTAGCTTGTGAAACTTTCATATCTATTAATTTATCATTATTTTCTTCTTCACTAGCATCAGTTATTTCAAAATCCTCTTTATTTTCTTTATTAAAGTTTTCATCAATAATTTCATTTGATATATCGTAAGTTTTGAAGAACTGGATAATTATTTTATTAGAAATACAGCTTAAGTACCCTAGTTGCATCAAATCTCAAATATAGTGGCCAAATTTTCTCAAGCGGTATTCATGTGATCTTGGCCTGAATTATAGAATTAACATAATTCTAACCAAAATTAAAACATAAATTTACTGTGCTATATATACAAATATTACGAATATTTTTATTAAAAATTTTATTTACATATCATGAAACAATATATTAGGTATCATTAAGGTTGCTGGACAATATCAAGAGTTTAGACAGACGTCTAAATGATAAAAGTAAAACTTGATTAAATTATATTAAAACCTTATTAAAAAATCTGCAAAATTTGAAAAAAGGTAAAACTATAT